GGTGCACGTCAATACGCAAGAACTCGAAGCGAGTGACGAATTATCGTGTTTATCATCGCGAAAACGAAAATCCGACTTGTCATTGTGCCAACTTGATATACTTCGCGGTTTGTGCCGCGTGGCGAAGAAATTTTAAGAAATATATATATGCATAACAAACGGTCCCCTTCACTTCGATAATTAGGAACGGCGAGATTTCGCGGGCGCTTCGTCAAATAATGCACTCGATTAACCCTTTTAGTGCCGACCAAAAGAAATGTTTACTAAGTAAACGTAAAATACCATTTCTGAAGAGAAATTCAACCATTTATAACGTATTATAAAATTAGTTTTGAGAGTTCTCTCGCGACGCGGATAGTCCGGCAGCAATGTATGCGCAACGATATATCGTCATTGGCACTTTTCGCAAGTGTTGTTAACAACGATATATCGTTGTTCGGCACTATAAGGGTTAAGTGTCGACTATTCGCTCGACGATGCACTGGGCGGAGTTATTCCGTTGCTAGCGCACATTACACAACCACCGAAAACTCGATAGTCGAGAATCGATAACTAAATGGACTGTACCATATCACATTAAGGCTTAATAATACATACGATGCATATTGCATGCTCGAGAACGATCAAGTATTAAACGCATCACGACATTGTTACGATAATGTGACAATTGATGCAGACATTTTGTCGCATGAAAGTTCAATCAGCACACATCAGACATAATGAGCAAAGCGACGGTTCTCTCGCGGGCATCCATCCATCCATCCGTCCGTTAGTCTATTCGTTCATTCATCCATCGTGTGCGCTCGGTTTCTCCATGTAACAATCGGGCAAAGCGCAAATTCGTACTCGAGTAACGTCTTTTATTGCTGCTATTGCACGGTGAGGCAGCTTAACTGTCTCCATTACGTCTCGAGGAGAGATCAATATCGCGCCAATCGCGCGCAAAGTCATAAATGGGATAGGGAATGGAATACGTGGAGGCTGCTGACGATGGCTTCGTCATACCCGTCGCTTACAGTCGCCCTTAATTGACTCTCTTATCGCACGATAGAGCCGCGGCGATTTACGCAATTACGCGTGGCAGAAGCTGAAACGCGCGGCGGTTTCGATCGATTTAGAGAAATGAAGATTGGTATCGGCGAAAAAGACATTCTCTTCCATCGATCAGAAACAACGCGTTCGTCACGAGACGGGCAACATTTGTAAGCGTTTCAATTGATTCCACATCCACATCTCGAAGCGCGCCGTATCGCTGAACGAATACACCGAATTGACGTGTCGAATTAACCAGACGGATATCGCGTAGCGATCGATTCGGCGACGGAGGGAGAGAAAGGGGACTCAGAAAACATCGGCATGCATCTCGAGACTGGAATCACGAATGCCAGCGATGTCCCGGGGCGAACTGCATCACGTCCGACTGCGATTGCGCTTTTCTCTTCTTACGATCCACTTGACGGCGTTGTTTCAGGAACGACGGAACTATCGCGAACTATCCGACCGTTCAACTCGTTCCATCCGTTTCCGCGACTCGCAATCAGGGTGTATCGGATTAACCTCGCAACACACGGCGAGCAGAAAAACGTCCTCTTCGTGAACTTTGATACGCTCGCCCATCGGTCCCTTCGTTTCCGGCGTGGAACACGATTTTACAGCGTAATTCAATATGGAACCAATGTCGGTTTGTATTGCGCTGCGAAATAAAAGAAGGGACGGGGGAAATACGTGGCACGCGTATTTGCAAATGGATATATAAAAATACCGTGACTATTATTGCATAGCGGGGCTCGATTCTGTAAGCATATAACGAGAGCGGGACGGAGTTCACTTAGCGAGTGTTATGTAAACCGCGTGCAGCCCGCTATTACGACGGGTAACGCTACACATCGTGAGTATCCACTCAACATAAAAGGTCACGCATTAAATTTAATTTTCGCGTTTTATCGCGAGAAATGTTGTTGTCGGGATATTTTGTTATTATTCAGTCTCCTATAAACAGTGGATCGGGAGGCTTTATAGTGCAAAGGTTAACACACCAAAACGGGCTGCGGCGCAACGACGGTTTCATTCGCAATGCATAATCCACTCGACCTTTCGCGATTCGATCTCGCCAGATGTTTCTCCACTCAGCGGTCAACTAATGTCAACGGTGATGCGTCGATGTCGATATTCGCGTAAAACCAACAATGTCGCGACGAGAACACCACGGTGGAAATCGTTCTCGCCGCCTCCGCGAGGAGGAATCCTGTTCCTGCGCCTCTCAGGTGCGAAACTGTTTATCGCGGGCAGCGCTTACTCGCGCGAACGATGCTCCTCGGGACACCCCGTGCCGAAAGATATATATATATATATATATATATATATATATATATATATATATATATATATATATATATAT